TCCAGATTCGGCTATCTGATAGATAGGGTAATTTTCTATGATTGTGCGTTTTTAATTTTCTCGTATCTTCAATATTGCTGCCACAGATTTTCGTCCTTTTCGGGGGCGGAAGTATACGTTTAATGGTGACATATTACAGAAGTTTTAGTCTTTAATTTTTATTGTATAATTATTATTCTTGATTTTTATTGTATAATTATTATTCTTGCTTTTTATTGAATAATTATTATTATTGATTTTTATTGTATAATTATTCTTTTTGATTTGTATTGTTTTTGCTTAAAATAAAATTACAAAAATGTAAAAAAAGAGGGGGAATGAAATTTTGCAATATACGTTTAATAATGAGATCTAACAGGAGTGTGGATACCAAATTTGGTTACTCTAGCCTTAATAGTCTCCGAGATTTGAGGATGCCCCAGATTCTCGTCCTTTGCGAAGGCGGAAGGGGGTGTGTCGAAATTGTTAAGCTAACTGTCATGGTCCGATATCACAGGAGTGTGGATACCAAATTTGGTTGCTCTAGCTCTTATAGTCTCTGAGATCCTTGAACTCACATTTTGCCGACCATGAAACCTGTGTGTTAGAGAGAAACAGAGCGAGAGAATGAAATTGTTTTCTTGATTCTGCCTATAATAATTTTACAATCTAGTTCAGATTTTGCATTCTAGAAGATATAGTGATCCTCTACGATTCGGCTACAGACGGACGGACGGACGGACGGACAGACGGACAGACAGACGGACGGACAGACAGACAGGGCTCAATCAACTCGGCTATTGATGCTGATCAAGAATATATTTATGTAATTTATGGGGTCAGAAACGATTCCTTCTGGACGTTAACACATCCATTTTCACCACACATCTAATACTTATACCCCAATACTCATTTTGAGTATCGGGTATAAAAAGAAGATCATGCATCAGCTGTATTACCATTCTGTAAATGAATTCCCAATTAAAATTACGCAGCGTTCAACAAAACTCCTTCGACTACTCCTGTGCTGGGAGCAAAAAGATACGGGGCTCCATTCCGAATAGGAGGGGCATTAACATCAGCATCAGCCCTTCTTATTGATTTTGCATTTGCATAAGCAGTTTATTGTGCCAGACACCCAACCCAATCATGTCTGTCCCTTGCTCAAGTTTTAGTCCTAGTCCAAGTCCAAGTTCTGGTCCTAGTCTTAGTCCTACGAGTTGTCCTGCAGAAGTGCTGCATAATCACACTTTTGGGAGGTTCGGAAATCTCGGCACAGCACTCGACACCACTCATCGCAGGGAAAGGGTGGTGTTCTGGCTCGTCCTTGGCCGGGGAAAATTAATTTAAAGCGCAATTTAAGTAAAATTTCCGCCCGGGGGCTGTTTTTTAGTTTTATTTCGAGCTTTGGCTCTCATCTCTCGCTCATCCGTGGGTGGGTCTGAAACTAATATGTACGCATATTTATCAAATTTCATCGCCCCGGGCCATGGTACTGGAACTGGGGGGTGGCTGCTGCTGCTGCTTCTGCTGTTGCATCCGTGCCGGGGTCTGGGCCCGGGACCCAGTCCGAGTCTGGGTCCGGGTCTCTGCCTAAAATGTACATTCATTGTAGTTGCCCAAAAAATGCCTTGCAGCGTTGGAGTTTCGGCTGGGGGGATGGGACTTAGGATGGAAATGGCAATGCGGATGGGTATGGGTATGGGTATGGGTATGGGTATGGGTATGGGGATGAGGATGTTGCGAGTCGGGAGACGGAAGTCGACCGCAATGCAAAGCTGCGGACCAAGTTTTCGGGCTGGCAAACTTAACAAAGAAATAAAAAACGATGAGAAGTAAGTGCCAGAGCATGTCACTGCTGGATGATAGACAAAAAAAATACCCTCGCAAATAGAATTCCAATGAAATTCTTGACAATTAGAGGTTTTCTTGTGTAGGTTCTCGCGTAAATATCAGTAGAAAATAGCGAGATAGCAATTTTCAGCGGCTTCGGATGATCTGCAATCTCCACTCCATGAATTTCGTTCCCAAAATAATTCCAGAGGATATCAGGCTTCACAAAAAATCATTCAAACTTCGCGGGCTGGTGGGTGGATGGGCTCATGGGCCGGGCCCGTTGCCCTGGCAATGTGCAAGGGACGCGTCGCGTCGCGGCTCCGTCTGTCAGCGGCAGACAGTGGTACAACAAAACCTACTTTTTGCCTGGGCTGTGCCCCCCACGCCCTAGCACGCTTCATAAGCGCAACGAATGAATTTTAATTTGATTAAAGTGAAAAATTGAAAAATGCTTGCCCCGGCAAAGCTCTTTCACTCTCACTTTTCTCCAGGACTTTATTAAACGTGCTGTGTGGGGGTGGGGAGGGAAGGTGAGGGGCAGACGGGGATCCCGGACTCGCTGCTACCCTGTTCAAAGATATGAGGGGATTAGTTGGCCAATCAGCGGAGGCAGGCAACTGGGATTTTGTGGCCTGCTGCACAACCTCATCAGCGCTTTGGGTTTTGGGTTTAGGTTGGGAGTGGTTTGGGGGTTGTGCGGGGCAGAGGGGTTGCCATGGCTAGAAATGCCAAATGCCAAATGCCGATTGACGACCCACCCACCACCACCACCACCACCACCATCAGGGCGAGATATCCTTTAGAGGAAGAAAACGGAGACGGAGAGCTTAGGCCGCATTAAACCTTTTTCCTCAATAATGTTGTTTTTGTCCGTCCTTGTCCTCGTCGTCGTCCTCGCTCCTCGCTCCTGACAACATCTCCACGTTCTTTGCTCAAAGACTCATTCATTCGGGCGGGGCGGCGGAAGCGGCAGCCCCCTAGGAGATGCTTAGCCCCGGCTAAGAAGCATTCTCGTTCTGGTCGTCTGCTGGAATTACGCCGCTTGGATTTCAAGTGCTGCCACTTGTTGTTGCAGCAAATGTTACACAAAAGTTACAGAAGCAGCCAGGCCCAGGACTCTCCTCCTTGGATCCCCGTGGAACCAGGAAGATCCAGAACTGTGGTTCCATAGTTGCAAGTTGCCGGAGGCCGAAAGCCGGAGACGCCAGTCGAGTATAACAGAATTTTGCACTGAACCCTAAACGAGGGGTGGTTCGAGGGAGGGTGTTTCGGGGGGTGTAGTGCTAGGTGGGGGATGCCCATCCACATGGGGCGCATTGTGAAGTGCAAAAAAGGCGCATTTTACAAGATTTTTATTACATATAAATGCGAAAAGTATTAAAAAAGTTAACTTTTTATAGACTTTTCATTTTCTCGTCGCTTTTCCAAGCACTGTGGAAGGGGGGCCGGGGGAAGGGTGGGAGTGCAGAACGAAAAAGAAGTTGTACGCTTTTCGTCTGGGCGTCATGATGCGTGTTAAGGGAATACACTCCATTCGCCCTCAAACATTTGCACAGGGAGCCATGGCTCCATGTGGCATAGCATAGGCTACACATATCCCCGTGCTTTTCCACGTTCGTACTTTCCCATGGAAAGGCCTTTCTGTGGCCACAAGCAGCAATTGTGTACATAGATGGGATGGATGCGCTACGTTCAGCGAGTAAGATCAATCGAATTATCTGCGAGTGATGCTCTCCCGAGGATTCCCAGCCGGGAAGTATGCAGCGCTTTTTGATCAGAATGCGGAGCAATCATTTTCATTGCCTACTTCCAGGCAAACGTTATTCTTGGGCGTCAAAGTGTACCAATTTGATGCAATATGTACCCAAATGAGTAATATTTAATTGAATTATACAAAAGGGAAGAGTTTCAACACAATTTAATGATATTTACAGAGATATCTGCCTTAAAAATGGAGCTTCTCATACATTTGCATCCCCAACTATCCTTCATAGAAGGACTATGAGTGAGAAATATGGGTACTCGAGCTACCGTTGTACCACAGATTTTGTCCGGCAAAGCGGAACCACAATTACAGCGACTTCAAGAGCCGCTCCAGCCGAATGCCAGCCGCAAAATCTCTTCTACAACTCCTATACTCCGCCGCCTCTGGGGCTTTTTTTCCTGCTTTTTTCCCTCCTTCCCACTCCTTTAGGTTTTCTCTTTTTCCACTCGTTGTTGCTGCTGCCGCTGCCGCTGCTACTACTGTTGTTATTGTTGCCAGTGGCAGAGCAGGGATTGGGGATGCGAATGGAGGTCGCCGTTGCCGTAGCCATGTCGATGTGGAGATGCTGGCTGTCGTAACTGTTGTTCGAAATGTTTTCCAGTTGCCGGCGGAGTCGTTGGGGGTTTTCTTTTTTTTGTTACCACAGACTTTTCATATTTTTCTTAACAATTTTCTCGACGCCCCCCACCCGCAACCCGGCACTTCAGCACACACTTTTTAAATTTTATTTTATTACTATAACAAGACATAAGTAGGCATAATGGAGCCCTATAAAATATTCAAAAGGAAATTGGCATAGAAAGTTTTTTGCAGCCCAAGGCAGATTTCGGTGCGGCCCAAGGACCCAAGGACCCAAAGACCCCAAGGAGATGCCACCTCAAGGAGCGCGTGTTAAGCGATTAACGGTGTTTTTCCCGCACTAGAGGGTTAATGCACTCCAAAACTCCGATTGCCAGTGGAAACTCTAGTGGGAAGGTGTTGGCATTTGTCTGGAATGCTCGCTCGTAAGCGATTCCCCCCTCCCATAACCCGGGGGCCAGGGGCCAATTTTCTCAGCCTCCCACTAGGGCTGCCCCATTCCGTGACCCATTCCCCCGCCGGCTGTCAATCATTTTCACAAACGATTTGTCAGGCAATGCCGCGATGCAAATAAGCAACGACATCCCCATTCCCATTCCCATTCCCATCCCAGTGGCCTCCCAGCTCCCAGCGTCATGAGTTTTTACAACTTTTCATTTTTGCGCTTGAGTGGCTTTAACTGCCTAAATCTCAGCGCCTTAGGCTTAATCCAGATTAGGGGTGTGGCAGGAGCATATGTGGCATGTGGCAGCCGCGAGGAGGAGCAGAGCAGAGCCGCGCAGAGAACACTATTCAAATTCTCAAATTCAAAGCTCTGCCGTCAAATGGCTTGGAAAATATGTTTCTTTTTAGGGGAAGGCTTTTGCGCCTGACTTTTATTGGATGGCGGGGCGCTTCTTGAGCACCCGGAGCCGCGAGTAGATGATGTCCCAGTCGAGATAGGCCCCCACTATGTAGCGGGAGTTCTGTTCGGTGTCGTCGTAGCCAGTGCGTCCATGGAGCAGGCGGATGTTGTTGAAGGTCAGCACATCGCCGGGTCGCGTCTTGAAGGCGTGGGCATCGTCGCGGGCCAGGCGCACGAAGCGCGAGTAGGACTCGTACCAGGGCTCCACCTCCGCCAGGGGCACACTGAAGTGGCTGTCCCGCTGGGGCACACTGTGGTTGATCCGCGTGTACTTGCCCTCTGAGTCTAGACTGTTGTTGGAAAGAGTTAGAGCAAAAGTTAGCCAAGATCTGATCTGGCCTGGGAATGCCTTACCAGATGGCGGGCGCCCGCCAAATGTTGTGGAACTCCCGGCCATCCTCGCTGCCAATATCGTTCCAGTCCACGGGTGTCCGGCAGAGTCGCTCAAAGTCCTCGGGATGGTCGCTGCGCAGGCGGTCGGCAATGTGGAAGGCGTCCACCAGGAGGTTGCTGCCTCCCTGGGACTCAGTCTGGACGACGCAGTGGAGGATGTTCACGCTGGGCTTGTACTCGTAGTAGGGCAGGTCCGTGTGCAGGGGCAGGGGCAGCGAGAGGTAGGCAAAGTTCTGGGCCCCCGGCTTGGCCTGCACCACGAACTCCTCCCCGTAGGTGGTGCGCCGTATGAAGCCCACACGCTCCGCGAGGCGCCGCACCACACCCTCGTCCAGCGGTGCACCGCGCAGCAGGGCCACCCCATAGACGGCCAGCGCCTGGAGCCACTGTTGCAACGCTGCGTCCTTGGCCATCACCTCCTCGTAGTCGAAGTGCTGGGCCACCTGCTGGAACTCCGCTCCCGCCCAATGACGGGTGGCGGGGCGGTAAAAGTCCTCCAGGTACGCCCGCTGTCGGTCCGCATCGAAGCTGCGCTGCCGGAGCCAGTCCAGCGTGTAGCTGCTCTCGTGGGCATCGCTCCAGCTTACGTGCACCTCACCGGCGGCCTCGTCCGACCGGATGCTCAGGGGCCGCACCGCCGTGTCGAAGGTGTCCCAGTCGAGGCGACGCGACTGTGAGGTGTCGTGGAAGCACTCCGAGCAGCGGCAGTTGTCCCGCAGCCACACACCCGGAAAGGTCATGGAGGAGGCGGCACTCTCTGGTTCCGGCTGAACTTCGATGCTCGTTCCCTTGACAATCTTCGCGTGCAGGTGTCGCCTGCCCTGCCCCAGGGCGCGGCCTAGTCTTTGAATCCACATTTTAGTGCTACGTCGTGCTCGACTCGCGGACAGTCTCTGACTGAGCGAGAATCGGAGAGAGTGAGCTGCAGCCCGAGATGTCAGATGCGATATGTGAGAAAGTGAAATCTGAAATCAGCTTTTTGTGTAATCAGCGGCTGGATTGGGGCTTTGGACTTTGTCTGCCAGCTCATCGCAAGCATCGAGAGACGACGACGTCGCCGACGAGTGGAGCTTATGGGAGGGGGGGAACTAGTTCCCATGGAATGCCTATGGCTCCCCAGCAGATGTGACACTTAATCGGGCGATAGTACAAGCATACGTATTGCTCTGATTGTGCTTGACCTACGGCCTCAATCATACGATTGTTTCAACAGTCCCCTGATCTTGGAATGTACTCTCCTTTGAGATACTAATTAAGATACGAGTGACGCATCTGTGGATATGGAGAGATATTGAGGACACATACTTCTAGCACTTCTACTGCAGCAATTCCTTGGTCTTTAGATGTTTAGTTCTTTGAGATATCATATATTAATCTGATGAAATGGAAACATAAGGCCTTTCTTTTGATTTATGGAATAGCTGTGGATTTCTTTGAGCATTTTTTACCGACCGAAGGATGGTAGATTGTAGTATAGGGGAGTGTTGTAGCCTACTGACCTGGTTTTGGCCTCGTGCACAATGTGGCATCAATTTGCTGCAGCTGCGCCAACATGTCACGTAACTTTGGACGATAGCGCACATCGTTGGCCAACGGATTGGACTCCAAGTAGAGCGTGAGCCTACAGCAATGCCAGCTCTCGATGGCATTGGGATTTTTCAGTCGCACCAGCCTCTCCACATTCTCGATGTGGGCTAGACGATTGAAACTCACGTCCAGGACCTTGGGATTGGTTGGCTTTTCGAGGTTTTCGATTATCCTGATCTGGTTGTCGTAGAGCTCCAGCTCCTGCAGAGTCTTAAGCAGCGATAGCTTCTCGATTTTCTTCACCAGATTACAGCGCAGGGACAGCCACTTGAAAAGTCTGATAGGCTCCAAGTCTTCCAGCTTCTCGATGCGGCGATGATTCAGATTCAACTCAACCCAGTCTCCTAGATGGGGGGTCCCTTTTCAGTTGGAATGACCAGGATCCCACAGTTCGGCCGACAGTGCTTAATGCCTTTCTTTAAGTTTTGGGATACAATTCAAGAACTACTTAAGCATTATCATATAGTTTTTCTGCCACGTTTAAGGCTTTTATTCGATTTATTCGCTCTCTCACACGTGGCCTGAGATTTGCTTGACGTCACTTTTGCTGATAAGAGCCCGGGGCGAGACCTTATCGGTTGTATGCTGTACGCTGTATGTTGCTTGCTTTAGCAAAGCGGTCAATCAATCAATCAATCAATCAATTGAATCATCTTTGTCCAGGCTGCGGGCTTTGCGGGTCTGCTCCGCTCTGGGCTGCGGCATTTTGAGCCTTTAAAGGGCTTCTCCCGCCGCCGGAGTGATTCTCGTGAAAGCAATAAAAATTGCAGCGCCTTCTTCAATGTGAACCTGACCTGTTGCACAATTGAATGTGGAGCGGGACGAGGGTAGGGGCAGGGGCAGGGGCAGCGGCAGCGGCAGCGGCAGCAGTGGGAGGCAGGTACGAGTACGCTGTTGCAGCTGAATCGAGTGGCAGCCAGTGCCAGTCGAATGCCCAAATGTCTGCCTGCTCTGACCATTTACAGAGCGGACAATAAATTCTTCATGCAAGGCTGCCACTGTTCCACAGCCCCGGTGCTCCGTGCCCCTTTCTGTTGCTGTTTGCTGCCGCTGGAGGCCTTTGGAAATGTTGCAGAAATTCCCAAGCCGGCGGCCATAAAAATGCGGCTCACATGTGACAACGATTTGTACTTTAGCTCCTTTTATGGCACTCGACTGTTGATGTTGTTGTTGTTGTTGTTGTTGTTGCTGCCACTGCCGTTTCCTCATCCTGATGTTACTCCTTCCCCACCCTCCTCACTCCTCCTTCTGTTGCATTTTTTAAAAGTCGGCTAAGATATGGAGCGACCAAGGGATACCCTGCGTGCAAGACGTTTAGTATTCGTGGCAAGTGTTGGCAATGATTTGTGGGGTAGCTGTTGGTGGCACGCATTCAAATCTGGAGCCTAATGTTGCCTCTATTTTATTTATTTGTACTGATCATATACATCAATCGATTTTATTTGAAACCAACATACCCCATGCTTTCTCTATGTGCGAGGTGTACAAAAATCCACTCAGGTTCACTGCCTCCTCCTGTGTGTGCGGCATCCTCCGTCCGATTCCGATTCTGATTCCGTTTGCGATGGTTCGCTTTACAAATCTCAAAATCGCATCAGATTATACGAAGTTATGCGACGGAGCAGGAGCGAGAGAAGGAGGCTACCATTATTGGTCATATGCCGTTTTGGTTTTTTTGTTTGTAGGTCAACGCCTCCTCCGTTGCAGACAGCAGCCGCTGCCCCGCAGTTTAGTGCACATCCTGAAGTCCTCACACCCCAAACCATAACCCACCCACCACATGCCACCAGTCCCCCTACCCCGACTCACAATTGGGTCAATTAACACTGCCGACCCTTGAGGTTGATATCGCCTATCGCTAGAATGGGGAACGGGGAACAGGGAACGGAAAACGGGGGACGAGAGTGTGTCCTTCAGTTTTATGAACCGCTTTGATATGGTGAGTGATTCGTGAGATGCGAAAGAGAGCCCCTCGGTCGATGATTATCATGTCACATGCCATCCAAACAATGGGATGGGTGGACCACTTAAGACCCACTCTCACTCCCACTCCCAGTCGCAGTCCCACTCCCAAGCCGCCTCCATCGTTCTTCGTCCGGAATGTTAACAGTTTTCGTTTCATGTAATTAAGTGCTGCTGATCCACTAGTTTTTATCTTTAAGACCGCTCTGAAAGCGAAACGAGACGAAACGAAACGAAACGAACCGGACCGGATGAAAGGATGGCTGGAGAGAGCAGTGAAAGCTTTTTGGCTTCTCCGAAACAATAGGAGGGGGTGGCATTGAGGGATTGGGTAGGGGATGCGATGGGAACTTGTGTTTGCAAACTGTCTGGGCGAGACAACGTTGTACGTGCCGATGATGTCCGATGTCCGATGTCCGCCTCTGTCCCCAAATGTCCTCGTCCTCGTCCTCGTCGAGCGTCCGAGCGTTGAGCTTCGCTTCCTTCTGCTGATTGCACTTCAGCCGGTTCTTGGGTCCTGCCGTTTCTGGTTTGGTTCTCCTTCTGGTACCCAAAAAATGTGTTAAGAGTCTAAACACGAACGTGCCGCTCAAAGGCCACTCGTTAACAGGCGCCGGGCAAGAGTTGAGAGCCGAGAGGTTCGATCCGTGTAGGAGGACAGGACCCATCACCCATCCCACTCCCCCCGCCCCACAAGTCGAGTCAGCACACAGTCCACATCCTACATCTCTACATCGGTATGGACAGCATCTATTGGTAAATATTTTTACTATTTGCGACAGGCCAAAAGATGAAGCAAAAGAATCCTGGACTCCTTGGGGGGAAGTGGAGAGCAACGAGAGCCAACCAAGCGCAACTAGCTTCATATATCTTTCAGTACCCGGTAATCCAAGACCTTAGGGGTATATTACCTTTGTGGAAATTACAGTCACAGAAAGAGTAATGAGTTGTCTTTATCAGCAGAAATAGGAGATCTCATGGAGATCCTCCAAAAGAGGAATATCTTTCCCCCCAAAAAGTATCTCCAAATACTAGATATCCTTTAGTTGAGAGTCTTGCCTAAATGGTCTCTCTTATTTTGTGTGTGTGTGTGTGTTTTTTTTTTTCCTGGGGGTCTCGAGCCCTTTTGCAGGTGGCTGTGCCGCCGCTGCTGCAACATCCTTGAAGGCGACACCCGACATCTCCAAGATGGCAATGTCTGCAGCCATTTCATTTCGCTGCTTATTTTATTGCCTGGTCCCATCGCTGGCTGTTTGCCCGCCCCAGACAACGACAGACAGTTGGCAAACAAACAAACAAGCAGGGACCAAGGACCAACGACCAAGGACTACCAACAGTGACTGGGTTAGGCCATATTCCCAGCTAAGACATGTAGTATATCTGTATATATATCTGTATGGTATTTTTTTTTTTGGGCGGTCTTCATTACGAATGCGGCAGAAGAAAAAAAAAAAAAACGAAATGCAATTCATTGCACAAGACATTCTGGTATTCTCTCTCTTTCTCTGTCTCTCTCGTTGGAGGAGACTACTATGTGCAGCAAGACACTTCTTTTGGGAGAAGGTGTTGCAGGTGTTGCTGAGACATGGCATTCCTTGGAAGGAGCTCATGTCAGGGGCGGAGTTTGCTTGTCCTGGCACTTTAGGGGCTACATTAGCAGTTTCTTTACGAAGGTGTGGAATTAGAGGAGAAATCAGGAGCATATATATGTTTTTGGGACTGTTGGAAGTGTTTAGAGATTGAGAAAAATTATAAATCTCTGGGATCTGGGAGTTGGCATCTTGCTGGTCTTTAAATAATAATTTGGGCATAGGATGAAATGTTACTCTTGCTATAAAAGTACAGAATTCTTGGGAACATAGAGTTTCCACAGTTTTATTCAAATAGTTGGGAATGAATGGAGATAGTATGTATATTCGAGGGCACAAGGAGTCTAGATATCTAGGGTAGCCCGAAACCGCATTATATCCAAACAACTAATCAGATTCTGAATCACTTTAATGTCTGTGGTTCTCTGGCACTATCGTTCATTCTGTTTGATTGACTTCCATTCGCGTTTCCAGCTCGAGATGAAGTCTGTGTGCCACCGGGCATGGTGTCGTGCATATATTTATGTGTATAGCCTGCTGCATAGTTTACACATTGTCTGCCAGGAGCATCAGCAGCAGCAGCGGCAGCAGCTATCCTGACAGGCGCTGTCTCTGTGCCTTCCCAGAAGGACTAACCATACTATATATCCACTCCACCCCACATCCTCGCCCATTTTCGGGGTAGTGTCTGCTGCATGTTATCTTGTTTTCCTTGGCTGAGCTTTCGGTAAGCCGCGTCTAAATATCCTTTTTCTTTTCTGCCATTCTTACAGCTCATTCCGGGCGACACTCCTTGAGGAGTTGTTTGCGCATTGTTTACAGCTTTGTCTTCTCTAAAAAGGGGGCGAGCAGGGGGCCTGAAGGAGGGGAGGTGTTGCAAGTCCTGAGCTTAATGCAGTCTGCAGTATATCCTTCAGCTTTCAGCTCAGCTCGGGCTGCTCGGGCTGCTGCTGCTGCTGCTCTTCTGTTTACAGTTGGCCTGGCAAGTGGCAGGAATACAAATCAAATTAACCTCTTAATTCTCCCTCTGTTTCTCCTTCTCTCAACGCCACACTGACTCTGTCTCGGTCTCTCTGTCTCTCTGACTCTTTCTCTATCCGATTTACACTTAATTAGTGGGCAATGAGGCGTGGCAGCTCTCGAACAGCATTTGGCAAAGTTTTTGGGACAATGCAATTCCAATTTCAGTTCCAATTCCATCTCGAACTCCACTTCTCATCGAAATCGAAGGGCCCGAAGCGGATGTCAAAGTGCGGATATGGTGGATATACCACTGATTGGGTGGCACACAAGAGGCACAGAGCCCCAACTTCCAATTAAACTCCTAATGATATGTGTGTGTGATTTTTCAATGGAAACTATTTCCAACTTTGCTTTGGCTTGGCTTTGGCTTAAAATCAACAAACACTCGGGGGCACGGCCGCTCCGCTCCGCTCCGCTCCACTCCACTCCTTTTTCACCCCGATCCCGATCTCTCTGGGAAGTTGTTGGGAAGCGTGTTGCGGCATATATTAATTTTTATTTTCAACCGCCTGCCTGCCTGCCTGCCTTCTTGCCTGCCTGGCTACAAATTAACGTGCGACGCTGCCGCTCTGCCTTTGGCTTCTTGCTGTTCTGCCGCTCTGCTTTTCTGCTTTTCAGCTACGTTCTGCCGCTGCCACTGCACTGCACTGCTTTGTTTGTTTAGCCACTGAATGATGGATCACACTCACACGCACTCACTCTAAACACCCATATTCAAATGCATACTCTTTCGAAACACCCATCACCCATACACTCGCCCGAAAGAGTTTCGAAAGCAACTTTCCAGGGATTTCGGATTGCATTTTTCTCAGTGAAAACCCTTGCTATACTCTCTGCAAAGGCTATGCTGATTTTGATTAGAAGTTGGGATACGATATATCTTCTGAATAATTATGTAAGAAGGCGGTTTGTATATCTCTTTCTATGGAAACAAGTTCATTCTCAGTTGTGTAGCTATCTGCATAATACTTTGCCCAGGGCCTCCCCTTTAATTATAGCCGCAAAGATCGGAACACCATATCATACAGGAGTGATGGGAAAAATCGCTCAAAGAGCTAGTTTTTGGGGAAAAACGCTTCCCTATTTCTATGGACAATATATAGTTTTATTATCTATCAATCGAAAGACCTTAACATACAGCTCTCATGGTACCAAAATATCTTCCAGAGTATCCATAGCTTCGACCACATAGATAGCCCATTTTTGTGTTTTTGTTGTTGTTTTTTTTTTGTTCTTCTCTAACATTTTTGTTTGTATTTCGAGCCCCCCCTCCTTGGAGCAGCCAACCCTTGGCCTTTGTGTTCAGCATGCCTGCCTCATTATTTTCACACGTTGCATGGCACGCTCTCGTGTCTCTGCCCCTTGCCCCTCGCCCCGTCCCCGTACCCGTTCGCCGGTCTGTTTATGTTTTAAGGTAATTTTCTGGACCGCCGCCGCATTACTTGCAACTGTTGCGCCCATTGAACCGACCCCCAACCCGAGGCGCATACACACGCACGTATACCCCTTCCTAGGGCCAGCCCCCAGCCCCCGGACCCCAACCACTGTTAGCCATAAAAGGTCAATGATACTTACAGCTGAAGAACAGCTTCGGGGACGGAAGAGGGCTACGAAAGCGAGCACCCTGAAACGAAGTGTTCAAGTGTCTTGAGGAAATTGAGAAAGTAGGAGAAAGATGATTATGCACTGCAAGAAATAGTAGTTCAACGATTGGGAGTGCACCAACAAACAGTAAACTGTACTCAAGAGCTTCGATTCAATGGAATCCTTATCCATCATGCTCTTTCAGTCCGAGGACTCGATATCTCAATTATAGTTCATCGGTATTTTCCCTCAGTGCCGGAAGCGAAAGAAGTAAGAACTTGGAAACCTCAAGGGTTGAACGGGTAGCAGTTCGAGAGTCGGAGGATGCTGGGTGCTTGGTGCTGGGTGCTGGACGGGGGGATTCTGTGAATGTGGTCAAGCTGCATGAAATTGAAATGGTCAAAACCATAAACTTGGCCATTTGTACTCTCTGGTCCGGTTATGAGCAGAAGAAACAGAAAAACAATAAAAAATGAGAAGGCAAAGGAGGGGCATACATAATATGAAATGAAGGAGACCCCGGGAAATGGACAAATGGAATAGAAAAACAGCCGCAAAATATGAAATGCGCGCAAGTAACCAACAGGATATGGCTCCTTACCCATACATACCCATACTCGTTTGTAACGTGGTGGGGGAAAGGGAAAGGGAAAGTGTGACTGACTGAACGAGCACTTAAGTGGACAAACTACAAGTGGGGTCACTCCCGACGTCGTGGATGCTGATGGGATGCGAGTGATCTGGGGAAGCCCCCGGAACCCCCACAAATGCTGAGTGAATTGAGGTAACAAAGTGTTTTTCGCCACACATTCAAGTGCACAAACCTCGCCCACCTCCCCACTGTAATATTATATTTCGAATACATGTACGATAAAATGTCCAGAGAGTCGTCTGACGGGGGAGGATTATGGCAGTTCTGCCACTGTGGAGATAGTGGACAAGTTTGAAGAGTCCTCCAATTGAGTTACTTAATATCCCAGCTCGGGAAACTCTTTAAATATGGGTATTCCCGCCTTTAAGACTCCACCCCTAGCAATACATATTAAATAATGAAATAAAGCGATTATTATATAATATTTTCAGCACAATTAATGAGGGGTGGCAGGGGCAGGGGCAGGGGCCAGGAGCTGCAGCAAAAGTTTCACCAATAATTGCCTACAATTAAAATTGATTTATGAAAAAAAGAGAGAAGGAGATAGAGATTCGGAATGGAATTCAATTAAAAAAGGAGTAGGAGTATGGACAGGAGCGGCAGCAGGACCACCAATTGCGCAATGGCCAATCAATTAATAAGAAAATGTCGGTGGACTAAGGGCTCCTCGCTCTGATATATGGGCCAATAAAGGG